TGTACACGCCGTGTGTGTGGGCACACCGTGTGTGTGTGTACACCCCGTGTGTGTGCGCGCACCGTGTGTGTGTGTGTACACCCTGTGTGTATGTGCGCACCGTGTGTGTGTGTACACCCCGTGTGTGTGCGCGCACCGTGTGTGTGTGTACACCCCGTGTGTGTGCGCGCACCGTGTGTGTGTGTACACCCCGTGTGTGTGCGCGCACCGTGTGTGTGTGTACACCCCGTGTGTGTGCGCGCACCGTGTGTGTGTGTACACCCCGTGTGTGTGCGCGCACCGTGTGTGTGTGTACACCCCGTGTGTGTGCGCGCACCGTGTGTGTGTGTACACCCCGTGTGTGTGCGCGCACCGTGTGTGTGTGTACACCCCGTGTGTGTGCGCGCACCGTGTGTGTGTGTACACCCCGTGTGTGTGCGCGCACCGTGTGTGTGTGTACACCCCGTGTGTGTGCGCGCACCGTGTGTGTGTGTACACCCCGTGTGTGTGCGCGCACCGTGTGTGTGTGTACACCCCGTGTGTGTGCGCGCACCGTGTGTGTGTGTACACCCCGTGTGTGTGCGCGCACCGTGTGTGTGTGTACACCCCGTGTGTGTGCGCGCACCGTGTGTGTGTGTACACCCCGTGTGTGTGCGCGCACCGTGTGTGTGTGTACACCCCGTGTGTGTGCGCGCACCGTGTGTGTGTGTACACCCCGTGTGTGTGCGCGCACCGTGTGTGTGTGTACACCCCGTGTGTGTGCGCGCACCGTGTGTGTGTGTACACCCCGTGTGTGTGCGCGCACCGTGTGTGTGTGTACACCCCGTGTGTGTGCGCGCACCGTGTGTGTGTGTACACCCCGTGTGTGTGCGCGCACCGTGTGTGTGTGTACACCCCGTGTGTGTGCGCGCACCGTGTGTGTGTGTACACCCCGTGTGTGTGCGCGCACCGTGTGTGTGTGTGTACACCCTGTGTGTATGTGCGCACCATGTGTGTGTGTGTGTGTGTACACCGTGTATGTGTACACCTTGTGTGTGTATGTGTACACACCGTGTGAGTGCGTGTGTGTATAGACTGTGTGCGTGTGTGAGAGAAAGGGGGTACACCTTGTGAGAGTATTTGTGTATGTGTGTGTGCCTGTGAGGGGGAGCACACTGAGTGTGAGAGTGTTTTTATGTGTGTGTGAGGGGGTACTTTGGGAGGGGTTGAGGATGTAGGTACACTGTGTGTGTATGTACAAATGTACATGGGAGTGTGTGAGAGAGAAAGGGAGAGGGAAAGTGGTGCTGCCACCCGTGTGTGTGTGTGTGTGTGTGTGTGTGTGCTCGCGCGCGCCCCACTGTACTGTGGTGTGGAGTTCTGTCTCCAGTGCTAGCTGGTGACTTTCAGTCTCGGTTGTATTTTCCCAACCCATTTTCCAGCGCGAGGACGGAGTGTGTGTGTGTGTGTGTGTGTGTGTGTGTGTGTGTGAGAGAGAGACATTGACTGCTGCGCTAGTGTGTGTGATATTCATCAGTACCCAGTGTGTGTGCACATGCTTTATTGGGAGTCGCTATGTAGAGTACATTGTGGGGTGTGTGCATGTGAGGTGTTGTGCTAGGGTATGTGCCCCAGTGGGTATCTGAGTATTGTTTTGCTGCAATTGTGAACAGTACAGTGTATGTGTGTGTGTGTGTGTGTGTGTGTGTGTGTGCTGCCTCCCTGCTGGAAGGTTTTGGCACTGCTGTGTGTACTCCTGTCGCCCCCTGCTGGAGGGGATGGACCCTGCCACCTGTGTGTGTATGTGAGTGTGTGTGCATGGTCTGTGTGCAGATGCTGTGTAGAGTACATTCCGAACTTTTGCAAATGTGTGGGTGCATACTTGTGTGCAGATGCACACACGTGGTGTTTTGGTTCCCATAGATGGCAAGTTGTGTGTGAGGTTTTGCTGAGCGCCCCTTTGTGTGTGTGTTTCTGAGTCCTGTCTGTGTTGTCAGTGTCTGTGTGATTACCATAGTGCCTCTCTGTGTGTGTGAGGATCATGCCACTGTACACTAATGTGTACGTTGCGTTAGTGTACTTAGTGTGTGCTAGTGGCTGGTATGTGTGTGTTGCACTAATGTCATGTGCTTCTGAGTGTCAGTTAATACGTGATTCTGAGTGACGCGTGTTTGTGTGTTGCACTAGTGTGTGTGTTGTGTTCACTGGTGGCTGGGGTGGGGTGGGTGGGTGTTGGTGTAGTACAGCGGTTCTGAACCTTTTTCGGTCCATGTACCCCTTGGCTTCACGTACCCCTTGGGGGTCCATGGACCCCCGGTTCAGAACCCCTGGTGTAGTATGAGAAGGATGGGGTGGGTGAGCCCGTACAGTGGTTGAGGGAGGCAATGGGGGGCAGGTTATGCCCATATAATAGTGGGGGATGGAGAGGGAGCCTGTATGATTCTGGACAGGGGTATGTGGGGTGTCTTAGGAGAGCTGGCTCGTAATGGAAGGGTGGTTCTGCCAGCTCCTGTGCCTGTCTCCACCTGCTTGTTATGCAGGTCTCTCAGTAGCACTAGTTTGTTATGATGGGGTCTCTGTGGCTGTCCAGGCTGGTTTGTTATTGTAGGGCCTCTCGGGCTCCTGATTTGTTATGGTGGGATTATATTAACAGAGCTTATGCACAGGACGTAAAGCTGGCTCGTAATGGAAGGGTGGTTCTGCCAGCTCCTGTGCCTGTCTCCACCTGCTTGTTATGCAGGTCTCTCAGTAGCACTAGTTTGTTATGATGGGGTCTCTGTGGCTGTCCAGGCTGGTTTGTTATTGTAGGGCCTCTCGGGCTCCTGATTTGTTATGGTGGGATTATATTAACAGAGCTTATGCACAGGACGTAAACTCTCATCAAATATTTTTCATTAACTGCAAGGAACCGAGTGGGGGTCAGCAGGGGGTGCTGGGCTGGAGGGGGCAGAGTGGGGGCCCAGCAGGGGGTGCTGGGCTGCAGGGGGCAGGATGGGCCCAGCAGGGGGCGCTAGGCTGCAGGGCGCAGGAACAAACATGAGAACATAAGAACAGCCAGACTGGGTCAGACCAAACGTCTCTCTAGCCCAGAATCCTGTCTGCCGACAGTGGCCACTGCCAGGTGCCCCAGAGGGAGTGAACCGAACAGGTAAAATGTTACGGGAACAAGTAAATAACTTTTCCTTATTCCCCCAACATGCTGCAAAAACTTCATGGGGTGAGGGGTGAGGGGCTTTAAAATACAAGCTGCTACACACAGCTCCGGCTGAACTAAACCCTGCCCGTTGTCAGTGACGCAGGAGTTAGGGGGCAGCCCTGGCGCTGGCCTGTGGCACCCTCCCCTGCCCGGGCCAGTTACTGGGGCCAGCGGGCTCACTGGCTACTGCACAGCAGAACGCCATAGACCCACCCCTACGTCCAGCTCTCTGTGTGCTTACTGCCAAGGCTCTCCCCACTGCCCAGGGCCAAAGTAGGGGGCGCTGGGCTGCAAGGATCAGGGCAGGGGCCTGGCAGGGGGTGCTGGACAGCAGGGATAAGGGAGGAGGCCCAGCAGGGGGCGCTGGGCTGCAAGGATCAGGGCAGGGGCCTGGCAGGGGGTGCTGGACAGCAGGGATAAGGGAGGAGGCCCAGCAGGGGGCGCTGGGCTGCAAGGATCAGGGCAGGGGCCTGGCAGGGGGTGCTGGACAGCAGGGATAAGGGAGGAGGCCCAGCAGGGGGCGCTGGGCTGCAGGGATCAAGGTGGGAGCCCAGCATGGGGCTCTGGGCTATAGGGAGCGGGGTGGGGGGCCAACAGGGAGTAAAATGTGTCCATTAGAACAGATTATCTTGGAGTCAGAATTCCTGGGTTCTGTTTCTGGGCGGGGAGTAGGGTCTAGTGGTTAGACCAGGCCGCCTGGGAAGCAGGACACCTGGGTTCTCTCCCCCACTCTGGGAGAGGCTTGGGGGTGAGTGGGTTAGAGCGGGGGGAGCGGGGCTGGCAGCGGGTCTTGAATGGGTCGCTCTCTCCCCCCACCCCAGGTCCCCGTGCTTCGTGTGGCGCCCCCTGTCCCCTAGGATGAGTAACTGCAGCAGCCGCGCGCTGACGCTGCTCAGTAGCGTGTTCGGGGCGTGCGGGCTGCTTCTGGTGGGCATCGCCGTCAGCACCGACTACTGGCTCTACATGGAGGAGGGCATCGTGTTGCAGCAGAACCAGACCACCGAGATCAAAATGGCTCTGCACGCCGGGCTCTGGAGGGTCTGCTTCTTCGCTGGTACGAGCTGTGCGTTGCGAGCTTCCCCAAGCGGTGCCCCCAGCTGTGTGTGGGGGGTGGGGTGGGGTGGGAGGGGACTCCCTGCTGCTGTGAGCTTCCA